AGTTATGTGGGATGATTTAGATGATTATGAGCCTGCGATTGGATGCTGTTGTAACAATTCCAGCTGCGAGATTCTTCTCCAACACAATAAAAGACGTGATCATGAACGGATTCATCAATTTTTGATGGGTTTAGACGGGTCTCGTTTTGGCACCACCAGAACAAATCTGTTGGGTCGCTTAACTCGCGAGAAAGATTTAAGTTTGGATCAGATATACTCTGAACTTGTCTCCGAGGAACGACATCTCACGGTATCTCGAAGCAAGGAAGAACGTCTTGATGCTGTCAGTTTCGCGGTACAGAATGGAGTCAATGCTATCGCTGCTGCAACAAAGACACGTAACAATCTTCTCTGTACGCATTGTGGTCGTACAAATCACACCGTCGACACTTGTTTTCTTCTTCATGGCTACCCTAAAGGTTGGGGTGACAGTTCCACAGGTAGAGGCCGTGGACATGGTGCAGGTCGTGGTCGAGGACGAGGACGAAGTGCTCCGCCTAGAGCAAACAACGCCGTCACTACCACAGAAGCAGAGTACCCGTCCATTCCAGGCGTAAGCAAAGAGACGTGGTCCGCCATCGTAAATCTTCTCAAACCACAAAGCTCACCCTCCGAAAAGCTTTCTGGTAAGAACACTAATGTTGATTTTCTTCTCGATTCCGGAGCATCACACCATATGACAGGTGATGTAGAGTTACTCTCGGATGTACATGATATCCCTCAGAGCATTATCGTGTTGCCAAACGGCAAACACTCTTACGCCACCAAGGAAGGATCACTTCACCTTGGAGATGATAAGACACTCACTCACGTTCTCTTTGTCCCTGACTTGTCATGCACACTACTGTCATTGGCACGTTTGTTACGAGAACTCTCTTGTTTTGCAATATTCATTGACAAATTTTGCGTGATACAGGACCGTTCTTCGAAGATGCCGATTGGAGCAGGTGAGGAAGAGAATGGGGTTTATCAGTTTTGCGGTATTGTTCCAGCTAGAGCATACAAGACTACAACGACAAACTTTGTGGCTTTGTGGCATCAAAGATTGGGCATCCTGGAAAGAAAGCTTTATCCTCTTGTTTTATCTACTTTAGACGATTTTGAGACAAGTAGTTATGATTTTGATGGTTTTTGTGACATTTGCATTCAAGCAAAACATAGTCGTGATTCTTTTGCTGAAAGTTCTAATAAGGCTACGGGTTGTTTCTCTCTAATACATTGTGATGTTTGGGGTCCTTATCGTACACCATCTTCTTCTGGAGCTCATTATATTTTGACCATTGTCGATGATCACTCAAGGGCTGTGTGGACACATCTTTTACTCGCAAAAAGTGAGGTTGCCCCTGTCTTAAAGAACTTTATGGCAATGACTGAACGACAATTCGGAAAAACTGTGAAAACTGTTCGAAGCGACAATGGTACAGAATTTATGTGTCTCAAACACTATTTTGCTGAACATGGAATCTCTCACCAGACCTCCTGCGTTGGGACACCTCAGCAAAATGGGCGAGCTGAGCGTTAGCATCGCCATATCCTCAACATGGCTCGTGCTCTTCTCTTTCAAGGTCATCTACCTATCAAGTTTTGGGGAGAGAGTATTCTCACTGCTGCTTATCTCATAAACAGAACTCCTACTCTTCTCCTAAATGGGAAGTCACCATACCAAATTCTTCACAAGTCTCTTCCGCCGTACTCTCATCTTCGTGTTTTTGGAAGCCTTTGCTTTGCCAAACGACAGACAGCTAGAACCGATAAGTTTGAATCTCGGAGTGGGAAGTGCGTTTTTGTTGGTTATCCTCTCGGTCAGAAAGGTTGGCGAGTCTTCGACTTGGAAACCAGCGAGTTCTTTGTCTCCCGTGATGTCATCTTTCATGAGACGTCATTTCCCTTTGCACCTTCGTATGCTCCCTCTTCGACTCTGGAACCTATTCCTCTCTCGCCACAGATCAAACTTATTGATGATCATGAAGCTATTTCCTCGGTCGGCATTATAAACGACAGGGGGAGTAGTGAGAAAGGAGCTATACATTCTTCTCATATTCTGGAATCTCCTTCAACTCCTGATGTGTATGTTCCAGACTCCTCTCTGCATTCTGAAGCTGTCGTAGACACCACACAACCATCATTAGTCGAAATTGAAACAGAGCAACTAGGCCGCGGTATGCGTCAGAAGTTTCCTTCTACGCGTCTCACTCCTTTCGTCACCTACTCTGCTCAACGCGCGATAAACCCTGTTCTCGAACTCATCTCTGCCTCCTCCAACTCGGTCTCTTCAGGTACGTGTCTTTATCCGATTGCAAATTTTGTCTCTTGTGAACGCTTTTCATATAAGCACACAGCATTTTTGGCGGCCATCACTCAGGGTATAGAACCAATTCACTACAAAGATGCTGTGCAACACAAAGTCTGGCGTGACAGTATGCAGACCGAATATGATGCACTCGGAGAAAACAAAACATTCTCTTTCACAAAACTTCCTCCAGGAAAGAAAGCTGTTGCCTCTAAATGGGTATATCAAATAAAATATATGGCGGATGGGTCTATTGAAAGACATAAAGCTCGGTTGGTTATTATGGGGAATCATCAAAAAGAAGGCATTGATTATGATGAAACATTTGCACCAGTGGTAAAGATGAACACCGTCCGTATATTACTAGAACTTTCTGCTGCGAAAAAATTGGGAACTTCATCAAATGGATGTTCACAATGCTTTTCTTCATGGAGATTTAGAAGAAGAGGTTTACATGAAACCTCCTCCGGATTTTGCACCGTCTGATCCTTCTCTGGTTTGCAAGTTGCATAAATCTCTCTATGGTTTGCGTCAAGCACCTAGGTGCTGGTTTTCGAAGCTCTCCAAAGCTCTACTTGCCTATGGTTTTTTACAATGCTGGAAAGACCACTCTCTGTTCACTCGAGTTCGCGGCTCTACTGTCCTTCATATTCCCGTTTATGTTGATGATTTAGTCATCATTGGCAATGATTCTGAGATTGTTACTCAGTTCAAGAACTATCTCAGCACATGTTTTCGTATGAAAGATTTGGGTGCTCTCAAATATTTCTTGGGCATCGAAGTAGCTCGAAGTGCAGAAGGTATCTATCTTTCTCAACGCAAGTATTGCCTAGACATCATCAATGAGTGTGGACTCATGGGATCTCGTCCTGCTGACACGCCGATGGAACAAAATCATCGCCTTGCTCTTGATCGTGGCCCATTGTTTGAGTATCCATCGCACTATAGACGTCTTGTCGGCAGGCTGGTTTATTTGGCTCACACTCGTCCGGAACTGTGCTATTCTCTTCACACACTTGCTCAGTTTATGCAGACACCAAGACAAGCTCATTGGAATGCAGCTTTGCGAGTTGTTCGATATCTTAAAGGTTGTCCCGGTCAAGGTGTTTTACTCTCGTCTACCTCCAGTCTCAACATCACTGCCTATTGCGACTCTGATTGGTCATCATGTCCTCTTTCTCGACGTTCCCTCAGTAGCTACGTCGTTCTCCTTGGTGACTCACCGGTATCTTGGAAAACAAAGAAGCATGATCGCGTATCCAGGTCTTCCACAGAAGCCGAATATCGCTCCATGGCTTTAGCTGTTCAAGAACTCTTATGGCTTAAAGAGCTACTTTTATCTCTCGGCATTCAACATACAGTTCCTATGCGGCTTGTTTTGACAGTAAATCTGCTCTCCAGCTTGCGGCAAACCCAGTCTTCCGTGAGCGCACGAAGCATGTCGAAAATGACTGTCATTTCATACGAGATGAAATCATAGCGGGAAATATCGTCACTACTCACGTCAATACAACGGAGCAACTAGCCGATCTTCTCACTAAAGCACTTGGCAAACAACAATTTAAATATTTGCTTGGCAAGATGGGCGTTTGTGACCTCCACGTTCCATCTTGAGGGGGAGTATTAGGATATATTCTATATATCTCTAGAATATTGTATTTCCTTATCTCACGGGTGATACCAAAACCCTTAACTCTGTGTACTATATATATTCTCCCCCATTCATTCAATAAGATCAAGCAATTCTCTTCACTTTAACAGTAATAGTTCTGGAACTTCAACAATCTGATACCAATGCTTCCGTATCAGAGTCTTTTTGACATATTTTGACTTTGATTTTCTCCTTTCTGAAATCAAACTTCTACTTCTTGCCTCCAATTCCGCAAAAGCGAGTTCCGACAACAAAAGATAAAAAGAAACTAACATCTCTTTTACATAAGGTTGTGCAAAAATCCCACTTTCATCTAGTTTTGGTTGATATGGTTTCATCGTCTTATGTTTCTGGTTAACGGCTACAGTTTTATATATCATGACCAAAATTCCGGGATCCCATATACGGCAATTTTGAGAAGATGGATTGGTTGTATCGACAACAACAATCCAACACATAAACCGATCAAACCGGAAAGAAACTCTACATAAGAGAGAGAAAACGGTTACCCATTGGAACCGACTACGCTTGAACGAAACCAGGGACCATCGCTGTGTAACATCATCGGTTACAATGATATACCACCATAGGTGTCGCATGAAGAAACCCCGTGTAGTATAACCGCTGATATCGTCAATGATCCACTATCACATTAAAAAAAAACACAATCATCTAATAATTTGCTAGATGTTGTAGATGACACTCCAAATTTCCAAAAAGTGATGGAATTCAAATTGGACAAACACTTAGAAATCTAACCCAAACGTAAAAAGAGGAAGATATACATACATAGATACATAAATATATAATAAAAACAGGGGCACAGTGCCGACACTCGAGATGCGTTGGCCACCAGCCAGAATCAGTGGCTAAAGATTCTTCAGAAACCGTTTTTTGTTTATCGCCTAAAGCGTCGTCCACTTTAATCTAGTGTGGTTAATCATATAAATATTTAATGAGAAAAAATATAAGTCCAGAGTAAAGGTTCAATGGGCGGGATTTAATTTCATATAGCGATGCATTATAGGTGAGAAAGGCCCATTTTGTTCTTAACCGGTACAGAGTTTTCCCAAGATTTTATTAAAACAGCGCTGAAGAAAAATCACAAGTTTGATCATAATCGATGGTCAAGTGGACGCCTGGCTCATGATCGATGGAAGATGAATCGAGCGAGAGAGAAGCGTTAATCCCTTGGACATTACTGTTAATGAACATCATCGTCGTCATCATCGGCACTGAATTATTAATGTCTGACCAAATCGCGCTTCCCCTGTGTTGCTTAACTCTCCCCGTGATTTCCTCTTTCGGATCGTCATTCTCACCCGGAATCTCCATGAGCTTGGCGTCCGGTTTTTCTGGAATGTGATTTTGATCTTTGTTATGATGTTGTGAATTATGAGATTCGGTGTTTGTGGGTTTCGGAGAATGAGATTCGATTGGGTTAGGTTTAATTTGGGAGTTCGGAGGAGGCGGAAGCTGTGATTGTGACGTCAGAGCCGTTGGAGATGGTGGCGGCATAAGTGATTGAGATTGGATATTATCAGTAGCTTTCGGCGATAACGATGATGATGGTGGTGGTGATGTTTGAGATCTGGATTTTTGGCCAGATACAGGCAATGGCGGTGTTGATGTAGGTTCATCTATAGATTTTGATGGTGGTGGTGGCGAAATCGGCGGCGAGGGAGGAGGTGCCTGGTACCCAGTTTCTTCAATAGATTTAGACGGCGGAAGCGGTTGTAGCTGGGAATCTTCAGTAGCGTCTAGCGTTGACGGTGGTGTTTTGGCTTCTCGTGGCGGTTGAGATGTACGAGACTCCGACAATGATGGTGGCGAAGGAAGCGATGAGTGGAACCCAGTTTCATCATTGGATTAGACGGCGGAAGCGG